GGCGGGTGGTGGAGAGAGGTGGTGTGGGGTGGGGGGGTGGCACCGCTCCACTTTGCACCATAATGACCCCCAGTGCAGTGTGTAGTGGCCTGTGCATGAGCGTCAGAGCGTCAGACCTGTGCAAGGGGCCAGCAATGTTGCCGCGCGATGGCCGCATCTTCGTGTAGACAAAAGTCTAATTGCATTTCACACGGTTAATAACGATCGAACAATCGAAGCGTTTAATCCCAGCGCTGCAGACTCACACGGAGGATCAGACGTGATTAGATACAGGACTAATAATATATATTTTTTAATTAACTTTAACTCAGTCGGCGGATCTATCTCTTTTTGGTCTAGCTATGCAGTAATTCAAATAACTTGTGACGTATCGTGCAAACCAGTTAGTTAAAATAAAAAATAAAATCGTAAAACCTACAATGTCACACGCGGAAATATCTATTCCACACACAAAACAATAGCATCGAAGAGTAGAATTTAAATTAGTCCGAAAAAAATATTACAATTATATAACGTGGCGTTTGCACTGACAGGAAAACAAAATAAATGAAAACAGTTGCAATATGGCCATGTAACCACTAGAGGGTACTGCAACAGTAGCCTTTCAGCTGCCAGGGAAATTTAAAGGAAGACCGGAAACACTGTTACAGGAGATATATAACCTCAGTGTGTACAGTATATTAACCGAATGATGTTACGATTCTGAATTTGGCTAAATATGAACATAAGTTTGTTTCGCAATTTATTGAAAATTAATAACTTAAAAAATATATAGTTTAAGTTGAACGAATTGCTTATTATAATGTCGTACTGTTGTCACATGTTGTGTCACACAATCCAATTCTTCGAGGTGATGCTTTTATGCAGTTCCATACCTTGAGCAAAATATTCTTCAAATAAATGGAAAAAAAATGTCTAGAACGGAAAATAAATAACTATATCAAAACTATGTTAGTTAGTTAGTTTTAGTTATACTTGTTCATGTTGTCGCTAACATTTTTATGATGTTATGGAGTAGAGCTTTGACCAATAACCTCTGTCTTTACTCATATCATTAGTACCGTGGCACTTTTACATATCTTTTGTTCTTTTTCAACTGTACAAGACTACATTTCGAAGTTCCTAGCTAATTTTTGATTAAATAAATAAATAAATACTCAAACTGCCTAAAAAAAACAAGTATTTTAAGCTTTTTCAACTACACAAGACTACATTTTGAAGTTCCTATCTAATTTTGATTTTAAAAAATAAATAAATACTCATACTGCCTAAAAAAAACAAGTATTTTAAGAATTTCTATTTTAAAAATGCTATCAAAAAAAGCTACAGCTACAGCTGCTATCATTTCATTTTAATGCTCATCATAATGACTGTATTAACTCTGACCCGTAGATAAGGCGATCCAGTTCACCAGTGCTGCAAACAAGAGTCAGTCGTAGAGATAAGGGTTGTGAAATAATAAAAAAAAGAAGATATGTCCTCATCTTTACAACTATAATTATGTTATTATGTCATGTTAGTCACGCTGCTGTTTCATTTCCAAACCAACAAAATCAGTCCTGCGGTGGTGGTTACACACTGCTGAATATGTAAACTATTTTGGGGGGGTGCTGGTTCTGATCAGCTGTCATGCTAAAAACTGCATGTTTCACATTACAATTCGGTCACCACGTAAATGGATTTTATTGAACCCATCTTGCATGCTCTGCCTCTTTGTGACTTTTTTTTTCTAAAAAGAAAATAAAAAAATAGGTCACAGCAAAGATTACTGTGAATATTTTTTTAAATTTTATTTTGCAGTACATAGAGTAGACATGAGCCGTCTAGTGCACTCCCTGTGATTTAGCTGCAGTGTGGGCTGTTAATCATTAATAGGTGTACTTCAGAGGTGGTGATAGGCCGCTCTTCTTTCAAAGGAAGGGACATTTCCATGAAGAGATAATCGTGTCTTTAAACGCAGCACGCTTTTAAAAAAAAAAAGCACCGCAGACTTCAAACGTCATCAAGAAGTTGGACGATGGATCTGCTGTAGACTACAAAGACACAAATGACTTCAGACCTGATATATGTACAGCATTGTTTCCCAAAGACTGGGTCGCGACCCTCAGGTGGGTCGGCAAGAGGTTTTTATTCGGGGTCGTCTCGCATCGTGTTTCCCAAGGAGTTTATGAATAATGTCTATTGACTTAGGTCGCGAAGGTTTGGGACTTTTTAAAATATGGGTGCCCAGAAAAAAATTTTGGGAAACACTGGTCTACAGCATGGCTGCTTGTGTGTATGTCTTCTGCTCCAACACGTGGTCTGATTAACTCAGGACCGTCTGTGTGATTGTGTGAACCAGAGCCTGATGAACCACAAGGCTGTTCAGTATCTGCCTCTGTGTTGTTTTGACCTCTTTAGGTGTTACCTTCCTCCCGTCTCCCTGAGCACAATAAAAGTAGGTGAAGTTGTTCCAACAGAAGCACCTGCTCTGCATGAGAACCAGACATTGTGAAGAGCCTCCGCATACAGTGTTGCTGTGGTTTGGTTTGGATGCTCAAATTTATGGAAAATCCTGTTTTAGCCCACAGGATGGTGTATGTTTAGTTTGCTTATTGTGTGTCTTCAGGCCTCTGTCATCCGTGAGAACAGTAGCAGATGCAAAACATCCTGGACAAAGTACACACCAACCACATACACAGTGTATTGGCTCTGCAGGGTCTATGCAGAGAAAATTCTTGTGTGACACACATCTCTCTATCAAGATGATAATAGTCTGTGAAGGGCTGATCGTATTTATTGGGTTCTGCAATTGTAATGACACCAAAAGGAATGAAGGGGGGAGAAAGGGGGGCAAGATAGCAACAGCACGCATGGGCATTGATCATCCAGTAAAAGGGCAGCAGCTTCTGTTATTCCAGCCTGGAGAAATATGTCGTGTTCGCAGCAGACCACCAGGCAGTGGGCTGACAGACAGCCTGCTGATTCTACTCTCATTATTGACAGTCTTCCCTCGCTCACCCGTCCTCCCTCCGCACAGCAGATGCTATGACGGGCGCCATGATGATGATCTGGGATTTTGCTTGCAGCAGCAGGGGCATCAGCAGTCCAAGATGCTAAAAGCTAAAAGATTGGTCGCCATATGAAAGGGGATTACGCTATGACACAACAAAGATGGCGGACGTGAACAGACGTACGCTTGTCCAAAAGTTACACTTTTCTTAGAACAAGATGTACGAAAGAAAACGATATTAAGCAACAGGAAGAGTATATGTATTTTAATAAGGGTCAAAACAAAGTATTATTTTGGACAAATTACGTGAAGTGGCGTCGCAAGTTAAAACGTCGCCCATTCATGATTATCGTGCGAGCTGCACTTCCCACAATTCAGCGCGACGTTACGGGCACTGCTGTCTGCTGGCGCATCTCATCTATGCAAAGTCTCTGAAGGCAAGCTGCTGGTGGTAGCTTGACTGTGCAAAGACAGCAAGAAGCGACCGACCGGCGGCGGAGGAAAGGAACGACAAGGGGAAAGGACAAGGGGAATTTAGGCTGCGTCCCGTCTTTGGACTAAGCAGGAACAGACTGCAGATTTCCGTCGGGCGTGAAACGAGCTCCTCAATAACCTTCAGTTAAGGACCCGCATTTTAACGACTAACTTAACCGACCGTTGTAACTCTTGAGCTGACCGTGGCTACGAACTGTGAAGAAACTAAAGCGACATTTCGGGACGAAGAATGGGATTTAAAGAACATATCTGCCAACGCTGAGTTCGAAAAACGAGGAGATAATTCCCCAGTTGGATAGAAATAGAAATATGTTCGAAACTATTTGAGTTACGTCCAGTATTGTTATTGCGTTGCTTTTCGTGCGTCAACTCTTGGAAAAAGGGGAATGATGGCATTTACGATCGGAGAAAAGTGGCGTTAACGTTAGCTCTGCTGGCTAACACCAAGGCTAGGCTAACAGGCTGCTCTTCATTCCTGGAGCAGAGGAGGGGCGCTGGGACTTTGGAGCACTGCAGTTCTGCCTTTGCATTTTTTGGGTTTACTGCAGGAATGGAGAACCCTAGAAACCTGCCTCATCAACTCAGGGGAATCAATTGACCGCACTGACTCATATTTTTCCACACACCAAAGAGAGGAGAGTGTGGAAAGTTCCAACAAACGGTGGGATTTCGTCAAAATTAGCCGGCCTGGGGAAGCCCGGCCCTTTGACTGGGACTTACTGTCCATGCGTGAGGATTGTTATAATAAATATTAAGAATTAGCGGTCGTATTTTTGTATACCTTTTAGTACTAAATGTTGTGGGCGAGACCATGAAAACACTAGTCTTAAAGCGGAATTAGCACAGGCTTGTCCTCTGTTCCCAGTCCTTACTATTGTCAAGGCTTATACTGGGTGAGAAAAGTTCCTAACAGTCACCGCGCTCGCTGCTACAAGGCCCAGGAGGTGTTTGCTGTCACCCTCCTCCCTGTTAACTTCACCATTCCTTCAAAAACTAACAAGCAGGAATAATGTCGGGAGAGGTGCGTTTGAAGAAGCTGGAAAAGCTGATCCTCGACGGGCCAGCTCACTCCAACGGCCAGTGTTTGAGTGTGGAGACGCTGCTGGATATCCTGGTGTGCCTCTACGACGAGTGCAACAACTCCCCGCTCAGGAGAGAGAAAAATGTCCTGGAGTTTTTGGAATGGGGTAAGAAGCTGTCTTATTGTCTTGATTTCATTAACTGCCTCTTGTTTGGGCCCATGCAGTCAGCCTCTTGTCTTTTTGGTAAGATGATAGGCTCATAATGTTGGTGGTGCAGTGGCCCTCCCTTTACCATCACATTCCTTTTATAGTAGTAGTGCAGCTCTGTTGGCCTGCTCTCTTCTCACTCGAACCCTCCCTGAAACTACAAACAAGGCTTGTTTATTCTTGTGCAAGTAAATGTTTAATATGTTTTGGGAAAAAAAAGGGGGACAGAAGTACATGATAGCTCCCTGCAGTTTCCAAACGCTGGCGTTTTTGTAATGTCAAAGTCAGACAGGCTGTACATTTCTGTTCTAGTGCACATCTTTAGGATATGGACCACGTTTTGTTCATTTTGTCAATGTGTCATTTTGTTTGTGTATTATTTTCACATGGCAACCCCTGAGTCATTTTGTTTGTATTATTTTCACATGGCAACCCCTGAAAAAAGGGACAAAGTTGAAAGAAAAATAATTATTTTCCACATGGAAACAAATTGCCCCAAGTAGATGATAGAGTAGACGATAAAGTATTTTTTTTTACATTTATTCTTCTTTACATTCATCTACCTTTGAAATGAATGTAGTCATTTTTATCTACCTTTGAAATGAATGTAGTCATTTAGCGTAATGATCAGATGAAACGGTAATAGTTAAATGCAATGAAGTTGTAGGAATTAAAATAAAATGGTTCTTGTACATTTCTTTACATTTTAAAGATGAGAAAAAAAAGTCATCTCATCTCATTCTCAATTAACAAACCACACATGCTATGGCAGCATATGGTGCTACAATAGCTGGCAGCCAGTTCATTGTGATGCTGCCCATCCAAGCCCAAAAAACTAGAGCATTGGCCGATACTGGAAATATCAACCCACACTGATGTTTCACTTGTGTATTATATATATTGCTTTCTTACCATTTGCCTTATCATTTAAGTGTAACGACATTGGAAAGTAACTATTATGCCATCTACTCCTTACCTTAGTGGGTTCCTTAAATATTGACCTAATATTGATAAGTGGAAAAACATGAATTATTTCTGAAGTCAAGTGACCAAGGTGTTTGACAGTGACACATACATTTTGTCATAGAATTAAGGAAGATTCCACGATGCTTCAGTTTTCTCTGAACATTCAGTTTACATATGTTAGATGTCTTTCCGTTGTTGGCGCGACTCCCTCTGTCCTAATTATTTTTTTTACTGCTTATTTGGACATACTTTTGTTGCACCTTTACGGCCACCTGGGTAGAAAGCTAAGTATGGAGTGAACTGCCCGCCTGTCTGAGACCTTGTTATCTGCAATAATTTAAATAGAAATGAAAAAAAAAGTTTAATTTAAGTATGAAGCAAATTAAATTAATGTCTACATGACATTATGTCATGTCGTTGGTCTGGAAAGAAGACCACACATACATACACACACACAGACACATAACTGCACAAAGTGATTGAGCTGTGTGTGTGTGTGGTGTGACATTGTGGGGGTTTAGTTTGTGCATGAA